CCACACCATACCACCACACCACACCACCGTCATCATGTTTGGAGTACGATCTCTGGCGGCACGCACACTGATTAATTCTTTTACCTGGAGACTTTATAATAGATGCCACTTAAAAGGAAAAATTTACCGGAGTGATTAGATGTTTATAACCGGTTTAGTCTCTCTACCTCTGTGATTATTCAATAGGAAAGGAAGATATTCATTGTAGTTATCCTGTTTGTATTTCCTTATCTAGATGTGTTGGTGGAGTCATTTGGGTATGATTAAAACGCAATTAGAGACTTATGAACTGGCCTAAACGAGTCTTATAGAGTCGGTAAATGGAGAGTGATTTGAAGGTTATCATTATTATTGTAGGAAATTTATTGCCCTTTTGCTAATGTGCTTTTGCTAATGTGAGTTTGGGATCTCTCTCTCTCTCTCTCTCTCTCTCTCTCTCTCTCTCTCTCTCTCTCAGCATGGTGATGGCGATAGTGATGGCGATAGTTATGACTGTGGAGTGATGGTGTGGTGTGGTGTGATGTGGTGGTGGTTGTGGCGGCGGTACGAACAAGAGTGTTGGGTGTCGTGATGGTGGTGGGATGGTCGGTGAGCCAGCACCCACAGGAGAGAAGAAGAGGAGTTCGCTTGTTGGTTGACCCGGGAGAGTGAACAAGTCTATGTAAATTACTTCCTTACTACACACTGAACTACGTCAAATTTATATATCTTGTTTATATACTCCATAAACATTTTTACTCGACGTTACTGTAAACTCTATTCTAATATTATCCATTTTGATTAATCTCATCTGACATGATCTGATCTTACCTAATCTCACTCGACTTAATCTAATCCAGCCTAAACCAGTCTAAACCTAACCTAACGCACCGTAATCAAAGCAAGTCATTCTTACCAGGTAGCTACTTTTAGGGTGCCTATCTTCCCAGTCTGTGAGGTACCTGGCTATACATACTGTCGTGTGTGTGTGTGGGGGAGGGAGGTGTCTGTTGGAAGGGTTATTTACAAAGGTAGAATATTCATTGTTTAAAGGGAGGGAGAGTGGGAGTTGTTAGTACAGCAGCGGCAGCAATAGTAATTATACTCTCCCTGCTCCCTCTCCCCTTCCTCTTCCCTCTCTCTCCCTCCCTCTCCCCATCCTCTCCCCCATCCCTCTCTCCCCTCCTTCCCTTACCTTTCATTTCCTTTCTTTCTCTGGTACTGCTGCTCCTTTAGTCTTTTGTCAAAGGGACATGAGAAATGTGGTCCATGGAGGTGTGTGTGTGTGTGTGTGTGTGTGTGTGTGTGTGTGTGTGTGTGTGTGTGTGTGTGTGTGTGTGTGTGTGTGTGTGTGAAGCTCCTCGTGGTGGTGGCGGCGGCGGCCCATAAATTAGCCTGTGATCCAGTGTTTGGTGCGGCGTGTTTTTGCCAGCTGGGAGATAATCAGCTTAAATTTATCGCCGTCTTCACTCTTGGGTCGTCTCCCTGCCATTGTTGGGTATTAATCGCTCATTAGTGCAGGGTTGTGTATCGGCGATATTTCTGGAGTGCCGTGCTTGTGTGGTTCTCCTGATATACTAAGGAGGTATTCCCCCTTTCTCTCACTCAATCAAAGAGAGAGAGAGGGATGGGATATATTGGATCCATCGTGTACTCTTGTCTGTTTTAAAAATTTGTTAACACATTATAGTCTACGTATGTTTGGTAGGTAGTTGACGTGAGCTTTGTTGTGTATCTGTGTAAATGACGAGGGTTGAATTTTGTTGTAAAGCGCTGGTGATGGTGTGTGAATGTATCTTTTGGGGGTGGTTCTAATGGCTTGTAACATAATGGAAAAGTTATACCAGAGAACAGCTTTTAGGGTGTAGCTGAAGAAATACCTGGAGGGAGTATACTTTGACCACAAGAACGACATGGACTCTATACTTACACTCTCCAATAATTGACTTGCAGGGGGGGAGGGGGGGTGGTATCTCAGGTGTGTCCGTCGCCCAGGTAATCATCAAGCCATAAGGTGTGTGAGTTTACGAGTGTTTTCAGGGTTAAGCAAAGACATGAGAAAGAATCAACGAATTAAACACCAGACACAAATGCATTGATCGCGTTAACTGACAAGATAAAACTTAAACCAGAAATGTACACCAATTAAGGTAAGGGAGATACCTGCGTGTACCTGGAAATGAAAATGATTGAACTCACCACCATTGAGAGTCTTCCATGAGGGTAGCTTTTAGAGGCTCTTTTGATATAGCTTAGATTCCTCCAATCAGTGTAGGGAATAAATGCTCTTTGTGTGATCTTCATTTCGCTGTGCTTTAGTCATTTTACAAAGTTTTTTTCCCCAGCTTGTGTCGTTTTTTTCCCCCTGTTTGAATGCATTAAATCTCAGAGGACTCTTCTCGTTAGATATTCCATGTGTGTTGAGTGTCGGGGTGGTGTAGGTGGTGGTGGTGGTAGTAGTGGTGGTGATGATAGTAGTAGTGGTGGTGGTGATAGTGGTGGTGGTGGTGGTGATAGTGGTGGTGGTGATAGTAGTGGTGGTGGTGGTGCTTCTTGATTACTAAAATTGTGTATCGTTGACATGACATGCAGGCGATTTATTTACGCTCACCTCAGGTAATTTATAAGACGACAAATTTACTATCTGGTTCATTACTCATACACGCGCTGATAAGGTGGAATGTGTCAGTCATTTACACTCACACACTCACACACCTGTATGAGAAGTTGATTTATTTTCTCGTGTATCCATTTTGCATTAGTTATCGACATCTGATCCTCTCCAGTTTAAGGTGTGTGTGTGTGTGTGTGTGTGTGTTTTTGAGAGGTAGATTCGGCTCTATTGACGGTGTCAGACCCTCCTTTAGCAGGCCCCAACTCGCCCCCAGGGAACTGCGTAATTCACCAAGAAAACCACCGACTTTCCTCAAGCTTCCATATTAACTTTCCTTACATTTATAAATATTTAAACCTTATCTCTATTTTTGTACTCTTCTTGCCTGCCTTATCCCCCCTTAAAAGTGGCTCAACTTTTATATTTTTTTATGTTTTAAATGTCTGAATCCAGGGAGACGACTCACACTCCATCCACAGAGGCGACGAACTTTCCTCTGGGAAATAAATAAAACAAGTCCGCCATTCCCAGGAAGTGGTAAAAATGCACGCGAACAACGTAACGCTTTTTGGCGCGGAAATTCTTCTTGTTTTCATCCTGGACTCCCGCCTCCGCAGTCAAGTTTTGGCGGGAAAAAGACAAATTAGCTCTTAGGGACTCCTGAAGCGGCTTAGAGAGAGAGCTCCTTCCCACCCAAGGTTTTGCTCCTTTGTATCCTCCCAAAGTGTGTCCGGACTCCACCAACACCGTTTGTGAGAGTGATAGAAATTGGTTATAATATTGATATTTCCGCCTCGCTCAGATGTTGAAGGTGTTGTTGTTCTTTGTTTTGTTCTTGTGAGAGTTGTTGTTACGTTTAAGCTTGGTAATTAATTATTTTAATAAGTTCTTCTTCTCCTCCTTACACCCTCCTTTACGCTCCTATCCTCACTCTTTCCTTTCTTCTCGTCTTCACTCCCTCCTTACCCCACCACCTCTTCAATCTCCTTTTCTCCTCTTCTACTTAATCATTCCTCCCCCTCTTCTCCTTCCCACACTTCCCACCATCTCCCCTCCGCCCACCTCACCAACACCCCCCTCCACCACCCCACCTCACCAACACCCCCCTCCCCCACCCCAACCTCACCAACACCCCCTCCCCCTTCCTTGGCCCATCACGCAGCTTATATAGAGACGTTAGTGTGACATTTCAAGTGTTTATTTATCTATAACGCGGCAGTAAAAGCCCTGGGTTATGATCTCAACTGAAGGCTGAGGCGGCAGTGCTAACAAAGGGGGTGGAGGGTGGGGGGGAGGGGGCTTTACCTTCCTTCGTGACTCATCTTCTTCCTTCGTCTTCATTCTCTTTCTCTGTCATTTTCTATTTGGTTTTACTGTTTCTTTTGCTTTCACTTCTTTCTTTTGCTTTCACTTGCACTTTTTTCTTTTGCTTTCACTTCTTTTTTTTGCTTTCACTTGCACTTTTTTCTTTTGCTTTCACTTCTTTCTTTCGCTTTGACTCACTTTTTCTTTCGCTTTCACTCTTTCACTCATTTTCTCTTTTTTTTTACTCAATTTAAATGGTACGTAGTAGATAGGTAGACAGATAAGTAGATGATGCTTAAGGTAGGTAGGGTGATAGAGAGTTAGGTACCTACGGCGTGTGGGGGAGGGAGAGGATCTTTGGACCTTCTTCAGGTAGGTACTGTACCCCACCAGATTAACCTTTGTTGTCAGTTCCTGTCCCTTATTAGTCACCCCTCCTTCCTACCCCCCCCTTCTCTCTTTATATACCTCTTCCTCATTCTTCAGCTTCTTTTTCCTCATTCTTCAGCTTCTTTTTCCTCATTCTTCAGCTTCTTCATTCTTCCTGCTCTTCTTCCTCATTCTCATACTTCTCATTTTCTTTTATCTTCGTGTATTTCCTTCTTCTCACCATTCTCCTCCTCCGTTCCCTCTTCCTATTTCCTTGTCATTTCTTTAATACCTTTTTTGTTTTCCTATCCCCTATCTTTCTCCCTTCTTCTCCTTCACTCCCTCTCCGTATCCACTCCCTTCCTCCTCTTCCCTAACCTCTTCCCTCCTCCTCTTTCCTATCCAGTCCCCTCCTTTTCCTTCCTCTCTCTTCCCATCCTCCTCCTTATCCACCCCCTCCTCTTCCCTATCTATTCCCATCCTCTTCTTCCCTAACCCCTCCCATACTCTTCCTTCCTACCCACTCCCTTTCTCCTCCCCCCTATCCATTCCCCCTATCATTACCCCTATCTATCCCCCCCATATCTATTCCCCCTCCCCCTCCTCCCTATCCCTTACCTCCCTCCTGAAGGCGCAGCGTCTTTCTTCTCCTGTGCAGCGTAAGAGGTTAAGGTTGTACCCAGTGGAGTGGTGAGTGTTTGTCCAGTATCAGAAGACGATGGCCACCACACACATTGCTTCATTAATGCTAGAGTTGTGTTTTCCTTGATTTTCCATGCCAACTCGATCATGGACGCCGCGGGGGAGCCTCCACTCTCACTGCATATCACCTGCATTCACAAGTCTTCATACATTAAATTTGTAGGAATGCACAAGGAGTGTTCGTACCGTGGGTCAGCGTTTTTCTTGTTGCTGTTTTTTTTTACTATGTTTATTTGGATGTTTGGAATTGTGTCTTCAGGTTAAGTAACGAGTGAATGCGACAATGAGGAGTGATGGGGCAGTCGTGTGTAATAGTGTCTCGGCTGGGACATAGCAATACGCTGGACTCTCAACACAGATCAACCATGCATTTGGACTCAAGCTTCGACCCATGACCCGCCAGAGGGACGTACCCCCAGCTGGAGCTGATCAGGGGGTCCCCCTTTATGGCCAGTGGGAGTAAAGGCGGGAGTGGTGCGACACGCCGCCACACCACTCACAGAATCTTTGTCCAGTGGGTTTTGTTGTGTTCGTTTTCCACGCTTGTCTACAGTGACGGTGGCTGAGACGAGACAGGATTAGGTTTTCTGATTTTAAGGATAAATCCATTTCCCTTTCCCTCCAAGAACTGGTTTTGGTGCTTTTGACGTTTTTCTTCAACTTATCCATCAACCTCACTTGTGGAAACTGAATTTCTTTCTGTTCAAGATCTTGGATACGTCATCCTTGACAAGATCGGTTAATCCTTTGACAATTTGCAGAGATGAAGAGGGCTTATGCGGTCCACTCTGGACGCTCGCTAATCGCCTTTACACCTGGGGAATATAATGGTCATGTTAGCGCACAGTAATCAGCGCGTGAAGCAATTTGAGTCACCCAATTTTTACAACCTGCGTGAGTCTGGAATGCGACCCACCAGACGCCTCCTCCTCCTCCCAGACCGTCGCGTTGGAGTCGCGCTTGGTCACACGGGCCATTTTTACCTTGTAAGGCCGCGCCATGGTGCAAACATCAGAAAATGGACATTTGTATACGCCTGTTATAGAAAACGGAGGTATTATAGTATGAGTTTGTTCGTCCGTCTGTGTGTCTGTAAACTTTTCTTTTTCCGGTATAGCTCTTGAAAAACACCTCACTAAAATATTTATCTCCAGCGAAAGAATAGGGTATGTCAAAAGTCAGGGTCAGATGTACCAAGAGGTGTATAATATAGCGATTGTCTGTACTCTGCCTTGTTGTTGGCTACGGAGGAAAAAAAGTGAATTATATGTTTGCTTTGATTACGAGTTGATGTATGATTATACGTTGCGCTATAATGAAGGGGACGTTATCACACTATCTTTGATAAGAGCCGCTAACTAGCATATTATAGTGTGATGCTGAGCAAACTGAGGTGAGTGATGTACCTGAGTTGGGTTTAGCATATTAGTGGAGGAGTGTGGCCGGCGCAACACGTGGACCCACCTGTGGACTTGAGGTCTCCCCAACCACACCACCATCTGCCTGCTGCCGCCGCCTCATCTTCCATGGCTTTAACTCCTGAATACCACTCTTGGCTGGCTGGCTGACTGACTGACAAGTGTGCGATAACTTTTTTTCACCAGCTGTTAACAAGGCTCCTGGTCAAGTATTATCATTCTTGTTATCATTTTACGCGCTGCTTCTTCTCCTTGATCTTATCGTCAGGTTCCCTCCTGTTGGTGAGGATCGTATTGCAATCATCCTGTCCTTCCGTATGTCAGTCCACCTGTCAGTCTGTTTGTTTCTCCGTCTTAATCTGTCTGTTCTCAGAATATTTCTTGAACGAGTGGACATATTTCCCTGAATATTATTGTGTGTTTCCATCAAGACGTTGTTGTGTTTTTAATGTTTTATGTTTTTGTGCGTTAGGTTATATTTTGATTTATGATTATTCTGTGTATTGTGTGTGGGTTTTTGTTTTTGTTTCGTGTGTTTGTTTTACCTCAAGACCCTTTGCTCTTAAGTGTTTGTAGGATGAAGTGGAATGATCGTCTACGTCGACTTTGAATATGGATGGCATGATTTTTTTTATTATTATTTGGTTCATTATTTTAATCCGTTGCTATTTTGTTTTTATTACTGTAGCCTCTTTAACTGTACTTATTGTTTCTGATTGATTCACCTGTATTTGATGTCTTACCTGTCCGTTTTGTATCTTGAGTAATGCTCCTGTACTTCTCTCTCTATATACCTGTACTTGCTGTATCTCATTTCTTATGGTCCTGTACTTGGGTTTATACCTGTACGTGTCCGTGAGGTGTTGCTTCTGAGTTCAATATATTAGATGAATGAACCAAACTGGAGTGTCATAATAGCCATTGGGTTAGGTTAGGTTACGTTAGGTTAGGTTAGAATACGTTAGGTTAGGTTTGGTTAGGTTAGGTTAGGTCGAAGTCTATTATATTTAGGACTGGGACACATTTGACCATTTACCCTTGAGAATCCAGGCACCGTCTCCAGAGGCACTCGGCCCTGTCTCCCCCCCGCCTCCCCACCCCCTGGTCTGGCCTGTGGCGGAAGAGACGCCCAGATCTCTTACTCGTGTTTCATCATGGGAGACTTTCCGGTCCTTTCTTCCTCTCCTTCCAGTTCCCTACTCTTCCCTCCTCGTGTCCGTACTGCTTCTCTTCAATCCTCACACTCCCTTCTTATGATCGTTGTCTTCCCCTTCTTTTTCCTGCTTCTAATCTTTCTTCTCTTCTTCCTCCTAAAATTCTCCACCCCCCTCTCTCCCCTTTTCTCGCTTCCCTATCTTCCTTGCACTTGGTCTTCTCCTCTTTACACTCTTACTCCTCCTCCTCCTCCTCCTCTACCTCCTCCTCTACCTCCTCCTCCTCCTCCTCCTCTACCTCCTCCTCCAGCGTGTCAGAGGTTGTGGAGGTGACCCTTTGCTCACTTGTCGGCTTTAAGGTCGTAAATTTGAGGTAGTCTTGGCAGGTGATTGTGGCCTGGGTGGCGTGGCTCTCTGGCACACACACCCCTCCGTCACCCCTCCTCACAGCCCTCACACCCTGCATGTCACCCCTCCTCATAGCTCAGCCCTCCTCACCACCCCTCCTCACACTTGTCACCCCACACTCCCTTCACCTCCAGGCCTATGTGATAACTCCGGGTCAGGTAACACTCTATTATGGTGACTCCTTCCCTCTACCTATCAACCTATGTCAGGATTTATATATACCGGACCTAGTATATATAATTTTTTTTCTAGCCCATAATTTTCATAGGTCGTAGAGCGTACAGTAATACCTGTGATCACACACCTGGTAGCCCCCATCATCGCGCACCTCTCATTAGTATTATGCCACCTATGGACACCTGTCATTGGGATTAATTTTGTATGGGAGAGGCGAAGAGGACCATAACACCTTGACATGTGTTTCAATCACGGTGGGGGTGAGTTTTGTGTTCCCCAGGAGGGCCTCGGTGGTGTAGTAGAAGGAGTGAGGTAGTTATAGAGAAGCGCCTTTGTTGTGGTGGTCGGGAAGGGAAGCTCGTCGGGGTTTATTCCAGACATGAGAGAGAGATTTGGTTGTATCTGAGCGTGAAGGTGTGCTGGGCTGATTGGTCTACCTGGCTCACGTCCCATTACTGCCTTTACCTACACATATTGCACCAATCTATGATAAGCCAATCCTAAACGTTCACTTAATTGATCTCATACTCGTAGCATAAAGGTATAAACGAGGACCAATCAGCGCTCACCGGGCCCACAAACGCGTGTATTTTGATCAGAGTGTCTGGGAGCCTCCTGACCTGTACCTACGACCCGAGTTGTTAAAATAATGTACCTATGGAATTTTTCCCCTTTACTGAGTACTGTGGAAGAATATCTAACCAGAACGCTTAAACAATTGCGGAAAAGATGGCGTCAAAAGTTAATTAAGACCATAATAAGACAAACACTGGAAGAACACCATCTTTAACATCAATAGTGAAACCTAACCTAACCGCCGCCGTGTTGGTACAGTTTGGTGCCACTTGGTTCATTAGCACTGTGTGATGAATAATTCAGTGCTCGGGTGTCTTCTGGCTTTTATAACATATTTGATGTACTGTACTGTGAGAGAGAGAGAGAGAGAGAGAGAGAGAGAGAGAGAGAGGACTAACTAAAGTAAACAAAGCCAGCAGCAGGAAGGGGGAGGGAGGTGGAGCAAACTCTGCCGTCACGAGCACAGTCTCTCTCTCTCTCTCTCTCTCTCTCTCTCACGCGGTATTACCTACAATGTTTTCTCCTCCTCTGTTTGTTTTCATTATCTACCATCTCTCGTTTCTCTATTTTGCATTATGTTTGTCCTTCATCTTTTCCTTGCTCGATGATCTCTTTCGTATCATTCACTCTTCCTCCTCTTCCGCTATTCTTTCGGTCTACAATGTTCACGTTTTTGTTTTGTTTTCTCTTTCTTTTTTGTCAGCCAGGATTATATATACCTTACTCCTCGTTTCCCTCTTCTCTTTCTCATCTTTATTCAATCTTCTCCTTTGTTTACATCATTGATTTTTCCTTCTTGGTACCTTTTATCATCATTTTGTTTGTTTGTCAGTTTCGATCATTTTCCTCCCCCAATATTTTCATGTATTTCCCTTGTTTATTTGTTTTCTCTGTTTCATTCTCCTTTCTATTTGTTGTCGAGGCCACACAATGGTTAAGTGATGGTTGTGGTCTTCTCTCCAAGCTCTTCTCGTGCTCTTCCCGTCCCTCTCGTGGTTGCCTGGCTGTCTTCCCTATACTCTTCCCCTTCTCAACCCTTTATCCGTCTCCCCATTCTCTTCTCGTCTCTCAAGTTATTGTCTCTTTGTCTCTCCTCCCATTACCCCCTTGACGTCTCCTCACATCTATTCCTCTCCTGTTTCCTTAGTTGAAAACCTCTTCTGTACCCCCCCCCCCTATCCATCCTTCCTCCCTCCCCATATCTCCTATTCTCACTATCCCCATTACCTTCTCATCCTATAATGAAAGCCTTTCTGCCTCCACCACCCGACCCCTCCCTTCGCTCACCCCCCATAACCCACTTGTAGGGGGAACAGTAAATATGAGGTGAGCCAACACGGTATACGGAGACGGCTGGGTTGAATACTGTTATTGATATCATCCTTTATCTTGTGGTCGTATTTCTAGCTGAACGAATATAGACGTTGTACTGATTTTCATAGATATTGGTTGTTAAATCAGTCCCTTTGTGTTTGGATTATTCTCAGTGTCATGTCTGTATTTGACTCTATAGTGTACTTTTTCTTCGCCCACTTGGATATGGTCGCGGTGGTCCACATAACACACTCGGTTATTGTGCCTGGTCGTGGGGACAGCGGGTGCGGGCGGCTGGAGGCACAGTTCGTCTCTTGTAAGCCACTCACGTCCAAGGTGCACCCACGGCGCCACTGGGAACCTCTCCCATGCTGATGGGACTGTTAGGCAGGCGGGCTAGCAAGCAGTAGGTAGTTAGGCTGGTAATCAATCGGATTGTTTGTCAGGCAGTTAGGCAAGCAGGTAAAACAGGGGGTATGTGTTAAGATGTGTTGGGCAATTAAATGGCTGTGTAATTTTGGAGATGAGGAGTAAGCAGGCAGGAAGGTAGGCAGATGACCTGACTAGACGATGAGTAGGGGAGGTCGTTGTGTTGTACGGTAGAGAAGTAGACTGGTTAGTGGAGGGGCCATATGGGTAGGTGAGTGTGTGGGGTAGAGGGAGGCAAGGGGATGAATACTTCACACTGGACTTGGGCAGCTGGCATGTTGAAGGATTGGGTTGAGCGAGGTGATGGTGGTAGAGAGAGAAAGGAGAGAGTAGGAAGGTGAGGAGGGTATAGTGGTGGTGGGGGGCATGACGTATGGAGTGTGTGTCTTAAACCAAGAGATACAATCGGCTCAAGTAGTAAAGGTACAGTACACTAGTCAGGAGCCTGGTGAGTTACGGCCGCCGTGTTGACAAGCCCGCGCTGGTAAAAGCCGAGGTGGGGAGCGTGTACAGCGGAGTTTATCT